GGTCACGAACGTGTAGGTTGGACAGAAGGAAGCAAAAACGATCCATACCAAGACCTTTGGTAAGAAGATCGGCTAGCTGAAGAGTAGAAGAGACCTTGATTGGTAAAACATCACTGGTCTGAACACGCTCACGAACAAAAAAACAATCCATTTCCACATGCTTAGTACGCTCATGGAAAACTGGATTGTTAGCAATGTGAATAGCAGCCTGATTATCGCAGTGTAAAGGTGTAGGACCAGACTGTGGAACCCCCAGTTCCTAGAGCAACCAGCGTAACTGTAAAATCTCATTGACTGTACTCGCCATTGCATGATATTCTGCCTCAGCCGATGAACGGGCGACAACGCACTGCTTCTTAGTACGCCAAGAAATAGCAGCGCCTCCAAGAGTGATATAATAGCCCGTCGTGGAACGACGTGTCTGCTGACAACCACCCCAATCAGCATCACAATAGGCAATAAGACGAAATGGTGCATCAGAGAGGAAGAAAAGACCCAGTCTAGTGGAGCCTTTGACGTAGCGAAGGACTCGTAATGCTGCATCCAAATGTATCTGGCTAGGAGCATGAACAAACTGACTCAGTATGTTGACAACATAGGTGATGCCGGGACGAGTGATCGTGAGATAGAGAAGGCAACCAACAAGCCGACGATACAGAGAAGGATCAGGCAGAACATCTATAGTCGGGCGAGTGAGCTGGTGATTTTGCTCGACAGAAAACTGACTAGGCCGAGAACCCTGAATACCTGCATCTTTCAAGATATCCAAGGCATACTTGCGTTGACTAAGGACAACGCCAGAAGACAGGCGAGCAATCTCAATGCCCAAGAAATATCAAACAGGACCAATATCATTGATGCTAAACCGGTCATCAAGGAAACGCTTAACAAGTTGAATAAAAGGCAAGTTGTTCCCTGCCAAGAGAACATCATCCACGTATATGAGTACAGTAACGAACGTACTCCCCCGCTGATAGATAAACAGAGACGCATCAGCTGGGGAAGACCGAAAACCGAACTCTCGCAAGGCCAATTGCGAGAAGCTTGCTTGAGGCCATACAAGGATTTGTGAAGACGACATACTCGAGTATCCCCTGGCTGCCGAAAACCCTCAGGGATAGTCATGTACACTTCCTCCTCCAGATCACAATGGAGGAAGGCATTATTAACTTCTAGCTAATGCAAATGCCAGCCTTTATGAACTGCAACAACGATGAGACAACGAACAGTAACCAATTTTTCCACAGGAGCAAAAGTATCATAGAAGTCCATACCCTCTATCTGCGATAAAATTTCATCTTGTACACCCACTTCGAGGAAATGGCACGCTTGCCGGGAGGCAAGTCAACAAGCGTTCAGGTGCCATTCTGAATGAGTGCCAAGATTTCCTTGGTCATGGCGGCACCCCTTGGCGAAAACAGGTGGGCACATCTTCACGGGTCATAGCTGGAAGAAAGGCATAGTACGAAGGTTTAAAACCATCATAAGAAACATAAGAGGCAAGAGGGTAATGGACAAGAGTAGAGGAACGTCCCTCTTGTGACGCATGATAAGTCTCATAAGTCTCCAGGTACTTAGGGCGCACACGCTTTCGATCGCAACGTCAAAGTGGGGGAGGAGATGAACTAGGCGCATCGGGCGATGGAGGCGCGGTTGAGGCAGTGGCCGGGTTGTTAGATGAATCGCCAGTGATGGGTGTGGTCGGAGGAAGATTGCTCGGCAGGGGGCTGGACACATCATCAACGGGCGGCAACACTGGATCGGTGGAAGCAGGAGTCATAGGAGTCTCGATTGGGGGACATTTCGGACCAGCGGGAGGATCAAGGAACGGCCGAGGGCTCGCGTTGAACATCAACCTGAAAAGGAAACGATGATTAATGGAATTGAACATCCCGTGAAGTTAGGATACGACGAGTGACCAAATCATAAATGCGAAAACCCTTTTGTGTGGCCGCATAACCAATTAATACACCAGGCCTCCCTCGCGCACTAAACTTGTCAATGTGAGCATGGGTATCCTTATAGTAAACCAAGCATCCAAAGGCCCATAGGTGTTGATAAGAAGCTGGCTTCCTAAAAAGAAGCTCGAAAGGTGACTTTCCTGTAGCAGAAGTAGGGAAATATTAAGGAGGTAAAGGGCAGTGAGTATGCATTCCCCCCAAATCGCAGAGGCAGACTAGTCTGAAATCGGAGAGCACGGGCTGTATCCAGAATATGACGGTGCTTCCTTTCCACTGCGCCATTTTGTTGAGGCGTATCAGTGCAGGAAGTCTGTAATAAAATGGCCTCGCGAGCATAGTAATCCCGTAGAGGTTCTGTATTAAACTCATAACCATTGTCGGCCTGTATACGCTTGACCTGCTTGCCAAATTGCGTACGAACCATTTGGAAAAACTGCAGGAGATGGCACGCAACATCGGATTTAAAACGCAACAAATAGACCCAAACAGCCCGTGTATAGTCATCGACAATAGTTAAGAAGTAGTGAGCACCACTATGAGAAGTAACTTTATATCCACTCCAAAGATCAACATGGATAAGTTCAAAACTAGAAGTAGTTTTAATCAGGCTAGACTGAAATGGAAGCCGAGTATCTTTTGCCCGAGAACAAGAGTGGCAAGGCCGAGCATATGAACCAAAAGACAAAGACAATAACCGACTAATATAGTGTTGTTTATCTGGAGAGGGATGTCCAAGCCTAGCATGCAAGTAGCTTCGGAAACCGAACTGCCCTGCTGCGCCGCACAAGCCTGTGACCTGCCTAGGGACCAAGGTTCTTTGAGGGGGATGGTTTGATGAGGTTATTTTATGTTTGGGCTCGTAGGTATTTTCGGATTGGACTATGGGTGTTTTTCCTTTTCGTTTAAGTTTTCCTTTAGTAGTTGGGCAAGGGATAGCCGAATAGGAGTGGGTATTCGGGTAGGACTAGGTTACGTATTAGGCTTTTGTGAGTCTATAAATATGTAATTTGGGCATTAGTTCTGTATCGAATAATAAAGTTAATGTTTATCGACACCAACTTAGTTCTCTCGCTTGTGAGATACACCCCGCCTCATTCTAGTGCGGGTCGGGTAACATCCTCCCATCGCGGGTCAGGTCGGGTAATACTCGACGGGGCTGATTTAAATTGTCATCACTGCTATTAAAGATGGTCTAAGAAATAATGTATTTAACCTTGATGTAGAATTCTAAGTCTGAGAGAGAAATAATTACTTTTGTACAAAGTTCCCTAAATTTCATAAGAGATGAACAAAATAATGTCATATTTCTAAATAGTGCAGTTTTGAATAGAAGTTGCATTTGCCCCCAATTAAATTTAATTAAAGTCAACTTACCTTTTTTTGTTTGTCTATGGTCGTTTGCAAGGTTGTCAACCCGCGGGTCGACCCGGACACGGTCTAGCTAGTGGGTCAACGGTTAATTGGTCATCCGTTTTAGTTCGGTTTAGCATGGTTGAGCCCAAAAATATGAAAAAGTCATTATATTGTACTTATTTTGAATCCAATATAAAAAAACAACCGTACTTAAACTCCAACACACTTAAATAACATAAACTTAAATTCAACATAGTAAAAATTCAACGATACTTTGGAACGAGCAGCCCGCTGACCCGCTCGAACGGGCCAAGCGCCCGGGTTTGACCATTTCCGGGCTAACTTTCAAATGGGCTATTTAACCCGTTTTCAAGGCCGGGTCCGGGACAACCCGGGTCGACAACCTTGGTTGTTTGTAAAGTTTATCAATGGTTAGTAGTGTTTGTAAAATGTAAACATTATGATCCTAATTTGTAACATTAGTATTTTATTATTTATAAGTTTGTAAAAATTATGGTTTATTTGTAGTCTTAGTAAATGTAATGGTACTGATGGTAATTTTGTAAACATATTATTTGTAAACTTTGTAGCCCTATGATTTTATGCACATTTTGTACCAAATTAGTAACTTCAATATCTACGATATTGTGAAATCTTTTAAGGGGTAAGTATCATTTTATCATGTATAATTGTTAGGCAAATTGAGTTTTAGAGGTTGTTTGATAGTTGCGATTGTTTTGGCGAGATTGTTACCATACATGCATTGTTTAGAATGCATCATTTTTATTTTTATTTTTTTTAGCAGAAACGATGTATGGATTGTTTCTTCTCTGATGTGACATAAACTATCACTCAAAATGAGTGATTATTATTAGGGGTGGCTATACGGTCCGGTCCGGTTAAATTGGCCCGAATTGATCTGATCCCAATCAGGTCTTTTCGGGAATATAAGGACCAAAGATTGGATCGGATACAGTCCCATCTGGGGCGGCGACGGTGCGACAGGATTCCCATGGTGCAAGGGGTTAGGTTTTGCAGGATCTTGTAGGTACAAATATTGGTTGTGGTGGCTTCTATAGAGACTATTGAGTAACCTTTAAGGTTAAGTGGTTGGCACTTAGGGAGGTTCGGTTAGGTGAATTCAATAGGTGGGTGTTTGCAGATGAATTCAATAGGCGTTCTCTAAAAGTCATTTTTAGCGATGAAATTGACCCACCCTCGCTAATTTTGTCACTAAGGGCATGTTTTTTTTTAGAATGTGCTTGGTGGAGCACTATTGGAAATTATTTAGTTACTTCACCTATGTTTTTCATCAGTTTTATGATTGGTTTGAAGATCAAAGTTAAAATAGGACGGCTCACTTGGTACAAGAAAAAGCCTCATTTTCTACTTCCAGTTTGGTATGATCCTATGCTCGCTTCTTTTCGCTTCTCAAATCCACAAATAAGACTAGATCATCTTGCCTACCATACACCCCACTTCACTCTTAATCTATAGCATCAACTTATCAGTACCTCATCGAATTACGTCCGTCGCATCCTTTTATTAGTAAGTGCCTTAATTAATGAGACTGATCAAATCTTTGCACGAGTAAGTTTTGTGGCTGGGAATCACTCGTCTAAGGATTTCCCTTAGCCACCAAATCCGGACGTGAACTTATTTCCAATCCTATTAGCTATAGAAAGATTAAATCTCAATTGTATTAGAAGAAACGGTAAATGTTAAATGGAAACCGGGGACAGTGTGTGTTAGATTCCATGTTATGGAAGCATGCAATAAAAACAAAGTGGAATTATTGAGGCAGGTGGTTGTTGCCGAGATGGCTCTTGTAGTGGCAAAAGAGTAGTTTTGTGTGAAAACCAGTGCCTTTCTCATCGGAAGAACCCCATAAATAAAAGCCCTTCCACACCAAATCTCTTCATTGCCACTCAACCACAGAGCACTTTCCTCTCTCTCTCTCTCTCTCCCACCATCTCCTCGTCAGCCAGTTTCCAGATCGAGCGCTAGCCAGCCAGCTCCGATGAGATCATCAGCCAGCTGCCGGCGGCGACTCCCCCTTCTTTTGGTGCTACTAATCTGCACCGCCGCCTCCCACCACCTCGCATCCTCCCAGATCCTCGACGGTACATACGTTGCCTGTCTCTCATGTCAAGCTCCATTCATTTTCCGTTTTACGATTGATAGATACTATGATTCTCAACATTCTGTTCTGCGTATATTTTTTCTTTCGATGAATTAGTTATAGGGAAGTAAATTTTGCTTATGTGTGAATGATCATCTCGATCCTAATTAAGGTTTGGAGAGTTTTAAGAATGAATCACATAATTAATAATCAATTAGTAATATTTCAATCGTAGTTAATTAAATTTGGAGATACCATTATCTGTTACAGGTAATGCATGAGTTATAAAAACACCATACTCATAAGAATACATTATTAAACTACAAAAGTTTAAATGCATAAGATCTGGAGACACATGCATGCAATTGCAAAGTTAGCTTGGGCTGTCGGGAAAGGAAAAAAAAAAGAAGATAGAAAGTGAAGCATAAGTAGCCATGTTTTCGATCACATGGGCTTACGGCGACAACATGTGATGGAAGACAATAAAGCATGGCGACAACACTAGTTTATCAGCCTGCCCAAGATATGTACATCAAGCCATACCTAGATCACACCTCAAAACCTCTATTATACCGAACAAAAAATAGAAAATATATATAAATTTACGTGGTTTGTTAACACAATGTTGCGTTAATTACAAAATAGAGCAATTTCAAAATACTTGATGAAATTAGGGCTGGCTATTTGGACCGGGACCGGATGAAAAACCGGAAACCGGACCGTATAACCCGGACCGAAACCGGACGGGGACCGGATAGTAAACAATCCAATCCAATCTTTGGGCCTAGATTTGGGGTAAAAAACCGGATAAAGACCGGATAAGAGAGCTCAACACCCAAAACTTAAGGGTAATTTGCATAAACGATCACAAACCTTTGCACTTAGTACAAAACTTAACCAACTCCTCACCCTTTTAGGCCTTAGGCCACTCAAATTCCCACAATCTCAATATAAAATCAAGACCGAATTGGGACCGGACCGGGTCAAGACCGGACCGAATCAAGACCGAACTGTATCCAATCCAATCTTCGGTCCTTATATTTTCAAAAAAAACGGACTGGACCGGATCAATTTGGGCCAATTAAACCGGACCGGACCGTATAGCCACCCCTAGATGAAATACACATTGAATATCAAATCAGATTGAGAAGATGTATATATTACTTCTTCAAAAATAATAAATAATTTATCTTCGAATCATAGCGAAAGACCCGTCCAGCCAAATACACTTGGAAACAAGAGGGACATACAACCTAGTAGCGAATCAAAGACCAGTCTAGCCAAATCTCTCTCTCTCCCTCATAGTAACTATCCAATATGTTATAGGATTCTCTTAAACTAACAGGATATGGCAGACTATCATCCTCATTTTTTAACATCTAAAATCCTCATTCTACATTTTGGACTTTGTCGTTAAGCTATACGTTTTTTCCCCCTCTCCAATCTTCAGGTCTGCTTCCGAATGGGGACTTCGAGCACGGCCCGAAGAGCTCACAAATGAAAGGAACGGTGGTCAAAACCAAAAACGCCATCCCAAACTGGGAAACCTCCGGGTTGGTGGAATACATCAAGTCCGGGCAGCGGCAAGGCGACATGCTTCTCGTGGTCCCCAACGGCGCATTCGCCGTCAGGCTGGGAACCGACGCCTCCATCAAGACGGCGTCGTTGAAGGTGAGGAAGGGCAAGTTCTACGCCCTCACCTTCAACGTCGCCCGCACCTGCGCTCAGGAGGAGAAGCTCAACGTCTCCGTCTCCCCTCACGGCGGCTCCGGTATCCTCCCCATGCAGACCATGTACAGCAGCAACGGCTTTGATTCCTTCGCTTGGGGCTTCAAAGCTCAGGCCGACCAAGTCGTCGTCTCCTTCCACAACCCTGCCGTCGACAAGGAGGATCCGGCCTGCGGTCCCCTCCTCGATACCGTCGCCTTGAAGCTCCTCTCTCATGCCACACGCCCTAAAGGTACGTACTTAGCGTCATACCATTGAATCTCTGTCAATAACTCGAATTATTTGCGTCAAACAATTATATACTCTATTATCACTCACTTTAGCATGTCAGTGAGCACGACAACTCCGGCACAATATCATGTGCAAGCATGTTCTAAAGCCGGTGGTGTTAAAAAAAACATACAAAAGAAAAACATTTGTCCACGTGGATCACTAACGAATGAATTATCAATTATTGGTGACAGGGAATATGTTGAAGAACGGTGATTTCGAGGAAGGACCATACTTCATCCCAAACATATCCACGGGCGTGCTGATCCCATCCCACATGCAAGACGACCACTCCCCGTTAGTGGGCTGGATCATCGAGTCCTTGAAGGCCGTCAAGTACGTGGACTCGGCCCACTTCAAGGTCCCGAAGGGTAAACGGGCCGTCGAGCTCGTGGCGGGCCGCGAGAGCGCCGTGTCCCAGGTGGTACGTACCACCCCGGGGAAGACGTACGTCCTGAGGTTCGCCGTCGGGGACGGAGGGGACCAGTGCGTGGGGCCACTCGCGGTGGAGGCCTACGCCGGCAACAACAAGGTTCAGGTGACGTACCAGTCGCAGGGGAAAGGCGGGTTCAAGTCCGGCGTGCTTCAGTTCAAGGCGGTGAAAGATCGGACGAGGATTACTTTCATGAGCTCGTATTACACGATGAAGAATGATCACACTGGGGCGCTCTGTGGGCCGTTGTTGGACGATGTGATGTTGGTCAGCGCTCGTTACCCGAGGAAGTTCATGTGATTGAGAGAGGTGTAATTAATTAATTAATGATGGTTTGGTTAATTATGTTGTACACTTTTGTCTGGAGGGTGGTTTGTCTGTATACCTCAGGTTAATTAATGGATTGCTTCGTTTGGTTTTGCTCCGGTTAAGGTTGATGATTGCCTCGAGAATGGGCGCTCATCATGATGAGGGCTTTTTGGTGTTTGTTCCAAAGTAAAAAGCTCTCCTTTACAAGTTACTTACAACTATAGGTGTCAAAACATGACCCGACCCGAGTAACCCGCCCAACCAATCCGATCCGCGACCCGCCCGCAACCCGATTGGACTAAAAGTCAAAGACCCGCAACCCGTCCGACCCGCAACCCGCTTGACCCGCAACCCGCTTGACCCGAACCCGATTGACCCGCAACCCGCTTGACCCGCAACCCGCTTGGCCCGTAACCCGACTAACCCGAACCCGATTAACCCAACCCGAACCCGCCCGATTGGCACGAATAATACTACATAATATGTTTTTGTGCATAAATATTATATGTAAATAATATATATAAAGTTTACTTGACTTGCCCTATTATTTTTTCATCTTTCCCACCCAGAACAAAGGTTTACTTTGTGTTGACAAATGACAACTGTCATTATATTGAATCACATAATAGTCTCACTGTCTCGGTAAATTGAATCACATAATACTTTATGGTCTCTCTGCCTTTTAGTTGAATCAAATAAACAACAAGTTCAAATTGTAACAAATCAATTACGTGGACTAGCTGGCTTATGTGCTGGTCTTTCCCATCCGAGGGAAACGGTTCGCCCAGTAGAGACATATTTTTTTAACATGTTTTTGTATGTCAACTTATACATAAAATTCCTTTAATGTTTTTGTATGTCAACTTATACATAAACTTCACTTAATATATAACATAGTTAGTAAAATATGGTACGAGAAAGTTACGTATAAAATACTTATGGGTATTATACTTCGTCTCTTAGGTAATGCTACGTTTAATAGTACGTTAATAGTAATAAATATATAAAACTAATTACTTTTATAAATAAATCAATATGTAAAAATAGTAAATTTAATAATACATAAAATCCACTTAATGTATAGCATAGTTAGTAAAATATGGTACGAGAAAGTTACGTATAAAATACTTACGGGTATTATACTTCGTCTCTTAGGTAATGTTACGTTTAATAGTACGTTAATAGTTATAAATATATAAAACTAATTACTTTTATAAATAAATCAATATGTAAAAATAGTAAAGTTAATAATTCATTTCATTAAATACGGATATTAAACGTTTGGAGTCGTAGGACATATGTTCTTCTCAATAACCAACAATTTCATACTACATAACTATAGTTCATGGTTTAAGGTTAGTGCATAGGGTATACGGTAGAGGACTCGTGGTTTAGAGTTTGGAGTCATAGGACATATGTTCTTCTCAATAACCGAATATAAAATTGACTCAACTTACATTCTTCACATAACATACGTTGTAGCTTATTCCAACAATTTCATAACATATAACTATAGTATAAGGTATAGCCGTATAGGGTCATGGTTTAGAGTTCATTGTTTGCATGTTTGGGTTATGGAATTATGGTTAAGGGTTGAGGTTAGTTTTACGGTTAATTACTTAATGTTGTGATTTAGGATAATGTATGGTTGATGGTTAAGGTTAGTTTTAGGTTTCAGATTTAAAATGGTGTTATAGGGTTAGGGTTTAGGGTTTAGGGTTAGGGTTTCTTCATGGTTATGCTTTGTGCACTACAAGAAAACAGAGGTTTAGTGTCGGTTGAGTTGAGTCGGTTCACTTAACCGACACTAAAATTCTATTTTGTGTAGAAGATTTGTGTCGGTTACTTAACCGACACTATTTTCTCCAATTTTGTGTCGGTTAAAATTAAACCGACACAATTTTCAGCATATTTGAGTCGGTTTTACTTGTAACCGACACAACTATTGTTGGTTTGGGTCGATTTTGTTATGAACCGACACAATTCCACTTACCGCCCAAATTTTATTAGTGTTTTAAATAACCGCCAAAATTTTAGTGGCCAAATTTCCATACCCGCCCAAAAAAATCACCTCAACCATACCCGCCCAAAAAATTCACCGCCAAATTTCCATACCCGCCCAAAATTTTAGTGGCCAAATTTCCTTTATTATTTAATCTTTACTATTTTTTCCAGACCCAACATATCACGATCCTCCTCCCATGTGCTCATCTCTCCCCCTTCCCCGCCCTCTCTCTTCTCCAACGAACAAACACAAACCCAAAAACCCTCTTCTCCTCTACGACGAACAAACCCAGCAACCCTCTCGTCATATCTGATGGTTCCCCTGCCCTCTCTCCTCCTCTCCGGTGCTTCCCCTTCCGCCATCGAGATCTCCTCTTCGTCGAGTAGCCGCAAGCAATCGCCACCGCCTTCAATCTCCAGGAATCGCTCGCCACCTTGGAGAACAACCGAAGAAGATCAGCCGCTCGATCTGTCTTTCTCTGAGCTGCAGAGCAACAGGAGAAGATCCACCACTCGATTTGTCTTCCCAGCGCTTGATCTGGGGATTTTTCCTTAACCTCTGCCTGCTGGTTCACCTGCGCTTCCCCAAATCGAAGAAGGCTGGTGTTGATTTCTTGATTTTCTGGATTTAGAGGATGAAAAGAGGCCATTTGCTTAACCAAAGCATTTATTTTGACTGGCAGATGCAAGCAATAGCTACCACCCACTGAATTCAAGGTAACATTTGATTGCTCATGTCCTTGTACGATACTCTTTATAAATTTTATTCTGCTGGAATTGCAAGGATGCCTCTTTAAACTGTATGTCATTAATATTTGATGTTCTCCATTATGCTGATCTTCAGATGGTTTGTACTTCTATACTTGCTTGTTGGCAAATCTGCAATAGGCTTCATTAATCTTTGAGCTTATTTGAGAGGACGAAAGGCAGAAAAAGAGATAACAGGAAAGGGTCTGGTATGTGTTTGGGCATCAAACCTTACCTTCCATACTGTGAAATCATCACTGAAGCAATAATGCTAAAGTGCCTAATGGTAATGGCTTCACAATTTGTACAAACCTTCTGAAATTATCATGAAGATTTCTTGTCATGTATCATTAAAAAGGTTGTGTACAATTTTGATCAGGTGGATGTCATGTTAGCAGTAGCTTCTGTAAGCTTCTGTGAGCTTCTATGAAGTTGTTTTTAGATGAGCTATTATGATGTACAAGAAATTGCAGTTGATTAATTATATAAGGTAGGTAGGTGGTTGTACAAGAAATTGCAGGAATCACTGACGCCATACATTTATTGCTTGGTTTGGATAGTTGTAACTGGTGAGGATGAAGTTTGAGGGCTGTGAGCTTCTATGAAGTTGTTTTTAGATGAGCTATTATGATGTGCTTCTACTCTGTTTTGTCATGACTTCTTGGGACTGGACAAGTGTTCGTAGTGCTTTGTATATGGTTTATTTATTTCTGATTGCTTCAGCAGTTGAGTTTGCTAGAGAGAGTAGTAACTTTGAACTCCTTTGAATTATGTTTCTAGGGTGGGAAAGGCTTGAAGGTATTAAATGCTTTGAGCGGACAATTGAAAGCAAAATTATGGAATCGATGAAGAAAAGGCAGACCTGGAAACTATAGTTACAGAGCAAGAAAATGTTATCTCATAGATCTGTAATTGGTTCTCATTAGGTTGAGTTTCATCATACAACAATGAGTTTTTTTTAATTGTATGTTATTTACCACTGATCCATAAATGATATTTGTATCAGTTATTCATATTAATGTTAGAATCTCATGTTACAAAGAGTTCGTGTTTTCAATTTGCATGTTAATATATGTATAGTGGATATATGACTAGCGGTTTATAATTAGCTACGCGAAAATGCAGTGCTAGATATTAGTATTTAATTAAAGTTACATGAAGTTAATAATTTGTAGATGAAGTTGAGTAAGGAATATTAAAAGCGTGTGTTACCATATAAAATAAGAATGAAAGTTAAATTACACTAGAAAGCACGAATAAGCACGAATGTGAACAAAATAAAAGCACGACATAAACATGATCAGGCACGGCACGACTTGACTCGTGCTTGGGCCCGGGCCTAATAAAACTGTTAAATGGGCTTGTATGGCACGACACGAAATTTAATGGGTTGTGCCTAGCACGTCACGAATCTAGTCATTCATTTGTTTAATAATGTACATTCATGTTTTATTCATTGCAATATGGTGATCGGTGAGTTTGTTTTAAATTAGTGTAATAACTCTCTCAAAAAAAAAATAGTGTAATAACTAATTATAAAAAAACTCGATGGTGTGGACCGAACAACCCGCAACCAGACCTGTTGTAACCCGCAATCCGATCAACCCGAACCCGATTGATCCGCAACCCGATCAACCCGTAACCCGACTGATCCGCAACCCGATCAACCCAAACCCGATCAACCCGCAACCCGATCAACCCGCAACCCGATCAACCTGCAACCCGATCAACCCGAACCCGCTTGACCCGCAACCCGTTTGACCCGCAACCCGATTAACCCGCGACCCGACTGAACCCGACCCGAACCCGCCCGATTGACACCTATACTTACAACCTCTATTTTACTAATTAAGTCAATAATATATATAGCCTTTTTGATCGTTTCACCTCGTCTCGAAGCGCTGGAACTCCATCAATTCTACCTCCTACACCACTTGGTTCTTCTCTCCCTTGCCAAAATATCACTATACAGTCCCTTCCCTTCTCTCTCGCCACTTCCCTAGCCGTCCTCTTCCTAGAATGCTCCCGCAAAAAAAAAAAAAAAAAAAAAATGGCAGATGCTCTGCCCTCTCTCCTCGGCGTTTGGACGAGCTTCGTCCTCCTTCCTCTGGGCAGGATCTGCCGATCAGCAGGACAGACTATTCTCAGTTTCTTGGTCGCGGTGCTGGAGGCCTCAATCAACAACCAGCAAACCTCGGATTATCGAGGATCTCAAGTTGCTCGTGGTGGAAAACCTCTAAAGGCCACCAAGTTGAGCTTGCTCTATCGAAGAAGTCAGAAGGGCAATGAGGCGCGCTTTATCCCGGGCACTAACAACAGAAGCCGGAAGCGCAAAGTGGCCTCGCCCCCGATCTTGGATTGCAGTTTGACCGGCCGTTTGCCTAAACGTGGTAGGCTCGTTGGTCGGCCGGGATGGAGGTTTCTCCTTCCTACTCCGTGTGAATTGGAGGTTGAAGAGGAAGGGA